AGGTTCTGCTTTACATAACTGACAAAGAAACTAATGAGCTTGGCAGTATGGGATGTAACTGATTCCTGTCCCAAGGCAGATGTTACCATATTGTACATCATTGTAGAAAAGACAAGCAAATCTTACTCATTACAGAGAAAAGCACCAACACTGATTATAAATTGCATGGGGGAATCAGACAAAACCCATCACGCGATCAAACACTGCCGCCTTCCAGTGGTCAAGGTGACCTCGATCTGCTTTAACACTGAAGGGAACAGAACAGCTAAAGCTGTCACCATTTTGTTTGTCATAAGGAGTTAGTATAAACAGATGTTGTGTTCAGGTTGTGTTTAGTTGACTTCCTCTACATCATCTGGTCATATAGGCTTACGCCTGAGTAGCTGGATGTGGTCTAAAACTGGTTGAAATGCACTGCTCTGATACGAAGGGGTCAACACACAGCCATTTATGTGGCTATAGCCTTGGTCCTTTCTTATTTCTGGGAGACATTTTAATATGGTGGTAAGTCAGAGTAATAGTGTAATTCTGCTTCTCCTTGCTGCCAAAGTAGGTGATATAGATGAAAAGGCCAATAGCCAAGCACGATGCGGGCACATTAAACTTAGGAAAGGTATCCAAACTGGGCTGAGTGAATGAGTTGGTATGAAATGTATTAGTGTTCATGGCCAGTAAGAACTAGGAGTAATGATCAGATAATATACATTACTTCTGTCTTGTGATGCAGTAGAGCAGGGGTGGGGAACCTCCGGGCCCTCGGAGGATGTTGAAAAAATTGAAATGGCCCTTGAGAGGAAAAAGGTTCCCCACCCCTGCAGTAGAGCTACAGATAGTACCTCAAATGTTTTGTCAAAAACACAAATCAGGCATTTAAAAAAACACACTTTTTCAGCTTGGCAAGAGTAACTACTTCTGAGATCTAATTCAAACGATCATATTCACCTACAAAGGGCTTAGTCTAATTCAGGACAAAATGTAGCCTTTTCCAGCAAAGAACTTCATTCATGGAGGGGAAACAGTGAATGACTGCCTCCCACGAAAAGCCATGGTCAGTGAGGACAAAAGGGCCAGGGTCAAAAGTAGACTTTGGTCAAAATGCATCGACTTCCTCCCCTTGGATGTCAGTGGACCTATCATGCTATATTTGAAACATATATTGTAGGGCCATACCTATATAAAGTATATAAATATTTTTTTTTGTTTCAAAATACCAAACAGATGCTGCATTTTAGCCATGCCTCATTTCGCTCTTTCCAGCCCTGTTTTTGCAGGGGGCTGATTCTGTGAGCTGCAACTGACCACGCCCCCCTGCAGGAGAGAGGAGTTGGCAGTTACATTGGCATTAGGGCCAGTAGCGTGGCGTGGGAAAAAAATTAGGGGAAGCCAATAATACGTCCTTTCTTTTGGGTCGGGGGGGTGTGGTGGTCAATGTAATAACGTAACCAGATGAGTGATTACAGCACCCGGTATCATTTTACACACATTTGTATCAGATGCCGGACTTACACACGCCTGTGTTATCTAACCGACAGGTCCGCACGCACTCTCCAGCCGAAACTCTAATAAGCATTCATTCACAAACTAAATCAGGAGACCTTTAACGTTTTACGTCCGATTCGCTCCTTTTTTCCTCGCTGTACACAGCTCCAGTTTGGGCATCGGCCTGTCATCAGATTGTATTTGTTGCTGCTGTAGCGGAAGTTCAGTACAATTATTTTTGATGAAATACTCCAAATCTCCACAATTGCACTTGCTTCAGTTGCTTGCTACTTTCTAACGGCGGTGAGAGTGATGCAGTGACGCTATCTATCTTCCATCGATTAGATTTATGATTCGAAAATTATAAAAGTAGGGTAGACATGTGGATATTATCCGACTGAACAAAACTTGCATTTATCTAACAGGTTCGTTTTCCACTGACCTTATTTCGAGCTATTTTCCTAAATCCTATGGAGAAATCCCGTTGCTTTTTTGTCGAGGGAAACCGAGCGCAGCTTACTTCCGGGTTTTAGGATGCGTCACTGCAACACTAAATTGATGCGATTTGATTGGATTGTGAGGCAAGGGAAGCCAGCCGCCTCTGGCTTCCCTTGGCATGGCCCTGACCAATCACAGGTTGGCAGGGGCATGACGTGAGCCTCATCTGATTGGCCAATCCCTCAATTTTTTTTCACCAAGGGAAGCCAATTTCGGCTGGCCTCCTCTCGCAACAGTGAGTGCAATCTACTGTTTCATCATAACATCTAGAGGGGCGCTGTTTGTTTCACTCTTTGTAAAATACTCAATGAGAATGGGGGAAAGACGGGCCGGCAGCAACACACAGCAAAGGAGAATTATCGAAACAAAACAAAGGGTTTTTATTTATTTATTTAAATTATAACTACAATCCAAAAAAACAGGGGAAGCCTGGCTTCCCTTGGCCTCCGGGAGAAAACGCCACTGATTAGGGCAGGGATATCTAGATACTTTCCAAGGTTTGACATAATGAATTGTGCACTTTTAAACCAAGCAACAATGTTTTCAAATCTGTAATCAAAAAGCTCCTCAAAAACGCTATGGAAGCAGTTCCTGCCATTGCTACGTTAGTTCAAACAGTAACAACGGACTATTTTTCTCAATACATACAACTATTTTTTAAATCAATAAAATCATTTTCTAAATCCAAAAAAGCATTTCAATTAATATTGGGAGTCATGTCGTTACTTTGTTGAGAATGTGGCAATGTAATAAGCGGGATAATGTGCAGCAACGCAGTCATTATGGGGAAAAGAACACCGACAGGCTGATCAGGAGGCCGACGCGAAGCGGAGGGATCTAGATCGGCATGAAGGTGTTCTTTTCCCCATAATGACCGCGTCGCTGCACATTATGCCTTACATATGATAATATAGAGTCATTATTCATTTGTTTTAAAGAACGAGGTGCAAACGCTTGCCTCTGGGAGGGAGAAAAAGAGCCACAGCGGAGAATAAACAGAAGGGCAACAATGCAAGGGAAGTCTTCTTCGCTGCTTTTGTTGCAGACTACAGCGCCATTTACAGGCCTGGCATATATGTAATACAGCGTCTCCAGCGCTTTCGAGCAGCAATGGCCGGCGTGGCCCAACCTCTCATTCCCTGATAAGTGGAGAATTGACCAATAGCCGTAGCGCCACCGTCCTGACGTCAGAACAGTGTTCAAATCTGGATCAGATCCGTTGCAGCACCTTTTTTAGAGATTTGGGTATGGAGGAAAATAGAGAGGGTTGTGTTTTCTGACACTTGGTGAGTTCCCTGGAACACCGGGGACACATATTCATGTATAAAATACGTACAAAAGTGCATTTTGCATGATAGGTCCCCTTTAAGTATTGGAAGTAGAATGTATACTGTCCTGTGATCATATTTTGAAATGTAAAGAGACTCCCTAAAGAGATTTCCCTTTACACCCTATCGTTAGCCAAACCAATAATATCCTCCCCAAAACTACAAACAGTCCATTAGTTGAAGGTGTTAAGCTGTAATCTTAGCGGTATAAAACATGTTGATACGGTAAATTCAGCACCAACCATGACACGCGACCATAATCATTAATTGATGACATACGTTAGCTACTTACCATGAAGCTAGCTCCCTAAATGCAACTGTCATGGAGATTCACTCACATAGGAATACGTCAACATTTACCAAACGTTTAACCATGGCTTCGTGTTCAAGAAGCATCACTATCGTCAGTTTAAATTTACTTGTTGTGGATGACTTGCGTTTTCCTGTTTGTTGACAGCGTTTTCACGAGAATGAGTTAGCTAAGCTAGCATTGCCGTTAAGCGAAAGGCTAACGTTAAGCACTAACCAGGTTTAGTTAAGGGTTTACCTTTATCCTGTGTGACTTAACAAGATGCATGTTCAATGCAGGTGTGTTGGGGAGAATCTTGCCACATCCTTCCACGGTGCAGAGGATGTTCGTCCTCACTTCTTTGGTCAGCTCCGTGATGGTAGGTTTAATTATTTCCCGTGACTGCGACAGAGACTCTTCATGGCATCTCGGACTGTCTTTAGTGGCGTTACCTCTGTTATTCGCCCTGCTCGTCGCAGAAGCAGCCATGTTTCTATGTTGACAGTCCGTTTGTTTTCTGCTGAGACCTCCAGCAGCAGCATTTAATTAACATTGGCATTTCTTCCCTCAGCTTTGCCTGAAAGGCTGCAACACTCCACTATTAGCACGACTGAACCAGCTGATCTTACGTCACAACCGGTTTTAATTACGTGCTTCCGTTTTACAAGAAACAAGTAAACCATCAAACTAAAGTTTTCTAATGTGGCTGACTCCTTTAATATGTTTATGACTAATGCACTGTAGTATTGATGTACCTTACACGCTATATTTGAAGCACTAAAACTGCATTTCTTCAAGAAGCTGTAACTCATTTTTCAACCAAAACTGTTGGTATAATATAGTTTGATCTCACACAGACATTTTCTAGAAATTGTTTAAATCAAACCGACTTTTGTAGGTTGTAGCTGATAGCAAAAAAATAAATAAATAGAATCCAGTTTAGCAATTCCATAGCCTAGCTCTACAGAGGAACCAAAGAGAACTGATGGTTATTATAACAGCCTGTTTTCATTGTATTGTTAAAGGGAGGTATCACAGATCTACTGTATAACAAAAGGAGGGGTCATTGTGGGTTAAACATGGGGGGCTATTGACAACATAGACTGTAACTTTGGAAAATACTCAATTGACATGGCTAAATCTTTTCAGCGTTGGGTATTTTGATCACAGTGTAGTTGTGATGAGAATAATCTCTCTGTGGCCAGCTTGCACAGGACACTCCAATAACTGTTCTATGCACATATGGGAATGCAAGTACAGTTTCAAGACAAACCTGAAAAAAGTGTGAACGTATCCTTTAAAAATGTTGTGCTGAGACAATGGAGCTTAAATAAACCCTGTAACATCGACTGTAAACGCTAAATTATGAGGAGCATGAATACTAAAGTTCACTCTCACCAGCCGATACTCCACAAAACAATGTTACAGCTTTATATTCAATTTGGGACATATATATTTCATAGAAATAACATTCTTGCACTAAAAAGAAAAAAAGAAAAAAAAACTAATAAGATATTTGCAACTGGGTAATAAAGGTACATTAATTGCTACAGATCTTGGAGGGGCAGTGGCTCTTGAACAAGGAGATTGAGGATAGAACAATAAAAGCAAACCCTGGGTTGACCAGACATGGCGCCATGCTTTCACTCCTTCAAAATCAAGTAAACCTGCTGCAGAGCCACTAGTTCAAGTATACTACGTCATCGAGTGGCGTCGAATGCTGGGCATTTAACATGCATTTAAAACAGTCCTTCGGCGCCACTCGATGACATAGTATACTTGAACTAGTGGCTCTGCAGCAGGTATACTCGACATTGAGAAACGGCCCCTGTCGGCCATCAGTTCTGTGTTTGGCGCATTTGTGAGGAAGGACCAGGTACATTGTCTGTGATGACAAAATAATTCTTTCCTTTTAGGGGTATAGATGAAAGCAGAGGTGTGACTGGGGTGGATGCAATTCCTGTGAAAAAAATCAAAATGACCGTCAATTATTTTGATTGATTTAAGAAAAACACTTTGAATGCACCGACCTAATATTCATGATAGATTATGTCACAAGAGCATTACAGAGGGGATAATTAAACTTGTGTTTATGTGCCCTCGTGTGGTCATTTATGGAAATTGCAGAATTATGAAACATTCAATAATTTTTTATTTTAAAATGCTAGTATAATTTCCTTTCTAAAAACATAAATGGCTGTGACAAATACCTGAAGATGCGCAGTTTTTGAGTGACTCCAGGAGGTTTGTGCTGGAAAATTTGACAACACATCTGAAGGGCTCCTCTCGCTCCGTCATGAGTGTGTTGGTGTGGTCTCTGAACTTTGTCTCCAGCTGAGTAAAGATTACAGAGCATAAATCAGGCATGAAAACGGGTCAGGGGTGAAAAAGGTGAGAAGGATATTATCCCTCTAGGGGGGTCCGGGGGCATGCTCCCCCGGAAGAACATTTTGAATATTCCATATTTTAAAGCATCAATCTGATGCATTTTGAGATGCATTTTTTTGCCAACCTGGGGAGAGCTGGAGAAACTTAACTTCAGCCATGAGTCAAAAATATTATGGCCTCCTTACTAAGTATTATCAGGGATGCAAACTCATCAGGTATGGAAAAGGTGACAAGGACCCGAGCCCCCCGACCCCACGGAATATCGGCTTTAAAATGAGGAATAACAGAGGATTTTAGCAGTCAGAACAACTAAAGCAGCAGTGTTAATAATAACAGAAACGCTAAAGAGTCACATCTAATAGAAATATATAAAAACATTTATTTTAATTGTGTAGCAGTCAGTTTATAATTTTGGCAGCACTGTTGAGCATTTTGAAAATATATTGTCATGCCTCTGTGCAAGGCTTAGTCTTTCTATCTTTATGGCATCTGGTGTTAAGTAACTAAATGCATAAACTCAAGTACTATACTTGGGTACAATTTTGAGATACTTGTACTTAATTTAAGTATTTCAATGTTTTGCTACTTTGTTCTTCTTCTCCTCTACAGTTCAGAGGTAAATGGTGTACTTTGACTCCACTACATTTATTAATACCTTTAGTTACTTCACAGATGTGGATGAATGATGTGAAATCTAATCAAGTGTTGAATCAGACTTTAGTTCCACCTGGAGTAAATCCACAAGCTACCCTGCAGTATACAAAGTCATTCAGACTAGCTGCACCTTCACCAGCTTTGAGAACACTTTAAAGATCAATCATTATAAAACATATCATATATATTATTCTGAAATGGACTAATCTGCACAACGACTACTTTTACTGTCGCTACGTTCACTATATTTTGATGAGAATACTTTCCTACTTTCACTTGAGGAACATTTTGAATGCAGGACTTTTACTGTGACAGAGTATTCCTACACTCTGGTACTTCTACTTTTACTCAAGTACAAGATCTGAGTACTTCTACTTTTACTCAAGTACAAGATCTGAGTACTTCTACTTTTACTCAAGTACAAGATCTGAGTATTTCTGCTTTTAATCAAGTACAAGATCTGAGTACTTCTACTTTTGATCAAGTACAAGATCTGAGTACTTCTACTTTTGATCAAGTACAAGATCTGAGTACTTCTACTTTTACTCAAGTACAAGATCTATACTTATACCACCTCCGTTTATAGCCTATGAAAAACTATTAGAAAACGAAGGCTAAAGCTAACGTTAGTAGATAGTGACTGACAATGTATGCTAGCTTGCCCATGAAAATATTGCGACAGAAAAACTTTTCAGTTTACATCACGCTCTGCGCTCCGACAGGGAGCTCTGCTCTGAACACCTGAACGGCCCGTTCTAACAGCTGTTCACCAGCGGTCCAGTCTGTGCCACAGTGACTCCAGACCACACAGTTAATATTAACGAACGCACCCGTAATGTGGCTGCTGAAGCTAGACCATCATCGCGGAGCAGCAGAGCCGCCAGGCAGGAAGACTCGAGCACACAGCTCGCGCTGCATTATAATATATAAAAAAAGAACACCATGCGTGTCATGATGGCACATAACAGCTCGCGGCTGCAGATTACTCCGGGTCCCAGACCCCTCCATACCCCAAAAAATATTGTTATTGCAGATCTACATGAATCACACAACGACCTATTTTGGATTCAAAACGGCGAATTTCGCCGAAAGGTGAGTGATTCTCATGCCTGATAAATGAGATGATTACAGCACCAAGTGATGCTGAGTGATGCTGACTCTGTGCAATTCATGCCTTTTGTTTACTAGACTTTGATACTTAGCTATTAAAGATGAAGCTAAGTATTTTAATACACAAAGCATGCCTCGGGATACCTTGTAAACAGCAGACTGTAGCTGAGGTAACGTCCCACCACCAAAGGCCTCACAGGCCATCTGAAGTCTGTTTGCTGCAGGCTTAGCTTGTTCTCTTTCTACGTGTGGGTCTGTAAACAGAATGAAAACCAAATAAATCCAATCACATTGCAAAAATCAACCAGAAGTACATGTTAATGCCAAATATACATAGCTAAACAAACAATGTTAAAGTATGTGTAACATAACATGAACAACTGGCTTTTGGTCATGATGATTTGATAAACATACTTGTGACTGTTTGTTTTCTTTCTGTGAGAGGGCTGGGATACTTGGTGGGGAAGACCTTAAAATTAGAACAAAAAACATTTAAAACATTTTTTTCCTGTACAGTGGTACTCTTAATTGCATGAAAATTCTGACAGTAAAATAAATAGGTTTACAGCAAATCCATAATTCAACTTTATTTTCTAAATCACTGGAAGTATTGTGAACCCTCAACAAAAATCTAAGTGCAATGGGTTAACTTGAACGAGAAATTAGTTCAACAACATGATTGACAATAGATGTATACTGTAAAGCCTTTGATAAAACTTCCCTTTTTTAATGGCAAATATCTAAATAACATTTCAAATGACATTGTAAGTATTATTTAAGTTCTGTGTTATTAATATAAAAATTAAAAACTTTTAGCAATTTTAGGTGGTCATTCAACAATGTAGATAAGATATTAAAGATGCATTAAAGTCATAAAATATAAATTTTGGAAATGTTTGTATCAGGACACTTCTTAACACATGGATGCTTTTAAGTAATATTTGGACTGGGCATACAGAGCTTTGTGTGGGGTGTGTGTGTGTGTGTGTGTGTGTGTGTGTGTGTGTGTGTGTGTGTGTGTGTGTGTGTGTGTGTGTGTGTGTGTGTGTGTGTGTGTGTGTGTGTGTGTGTGTGTGTGTAGTTGAAAAACACCTAACCTGTTGATATTTCCTCATTAGCAGGTCCCTAATGGCAGTGAGATTCCGGCCACTGAGGTTGGCATCCTTGAAATATTGATACCTGGTGGACAGAACCATGGCCTGCAAAGAACATACATCTGTTAAACGGGAATGGAAAGACAAAAGAAACAACAACCTGATAACCAACTATATAAAAGTTAACCCTCACCTGGAATAACATGGGCTTTTGCTTTGAATTCAGACGGGTCACAAAGACATATGGTGTTTGAAGATAGTGAACAACATATGTTGGTTTGAGATGGTCGGGGCGAGAGTAGGCGTCTCCCCATGCAATCCGAATCCAAACGGCTTCATCTGTGTGTTTTTTTATTTTGACGGACACCTTGAATGCAATGTTTAAATATAGGATGTTAAACGATATCTTTCAATGTTGAAACGTTATAGTTTATATGATTTTGCCGTGTGAGGAGGAATATTGGACTTACTTGTCTCACAAGTTCTCTTAGGTGAGATTTAAATTGTTCCTTGAACTGCATCAGATCCACAGATTGAGCATCATCTGTGGAAAAGGGAAATTATTAAATAGACAATACGGGTTTGCAAAGTAAATTAAAATGTATCTCAATAATGTTTTAAATCCCTGGAACAAACAGATAAAGAATACATCTGCGACAAGACCATTTCATCAATTAACCCTGCACTATAACTAACCAAACTCCAACAGATAAGCTGACTGGTTGAAGTAACCAACATTTCACTCGTAACCCGCTGTAGTGTTTGGTTAGAATATAGCTGCAAACTTCCAGCCACCATATCCATAGTACTAATAAGTATTTTAAATTACCTCCAGGGTCGGTAAGCTGGAAGGCATACCACATCCCTTGGTCTGGATTGTCCATCATATCTAGAGAAAAGGACAAAAGAAGGGTTATTGGATTGGACTTGGCATTACCTTTACCCAAATGAGATAAATAGTTTCACTTTACTTACAAATCATCTCGAGTTCTGTGAGGTGTTTAACTGCCAACTCGTTTTCCTAGGTACAGAAAAAAGCGAAATCACTACTACTTCAGCTTGCATTTTCATAGAAAATGTACTGTTTTACACTGTTTATCAAACAGAAGAACCTATAATATCAGATAAGTGTCTGCTTACCTCGCAAATAGCGAGTAGGCTTTCCGTTAGCGCCCATTTGGACTGAATGCTATCCATGGCCCGATGCTGTTCCCCTGTCAAATGGCCCCACTTCTGCAGCGTTGTTTTCAGCATTTTAGTCGGTATCCTTCTTATGAGTCGCTGCACTAGGCGTTTCTTAGATTCATCCATCCTTCCTCAGATGCTATAATATTAGCAGTTGTATTGGATAGTTTTTTGAATTAAACTGTTGAATCCGTACAGCTTGTAGTGTGGCAGGCAGGAGAAGAAATCCAAACAAACCGCCTACCAAAGAGAACACGAATGGACCAATCAGATATGTCGAGAATAGTGCACGTGACCCCTATAGCGTCCTCTGTTGTTTCGGAGTGGTATTGCTCCTATATGACTCACATTAGGAACATCTGCAAAACGGTGGAAGACATATTTAGACCCTTTACTTAACAAGCATCACTACAATATTCTAAAAATTAGTGATTACCAGTTAAATACTTATTTCACCTATCATTCTGCCGTAAAATAGCAAAAGTGTATTAAGTAGGCTACATGTTTTACAGTAACTGGCTCTGCACGTTTCCCCAGCCATGACATAACAATGCTAATACTAACCAATGTTTACATATTGATTTCATATTTTACACTTACACGAACCTGGTCTTGGTGGGGTTAGAAAAACGAGCTTATTCTGATTTTAAAAAGCAGTTCCTAAACTTGTAGTCAGGTTGCTTTAAAATTGTCATAATAAGCCGTAGGGATTGAGAGATCATTTATAGCAGGGGGAAGAAGAAAGTAGAAAATGGTGACACCCAAATCTATTTAAATTTACTTTCTGAACTGTTTATTTAAAAATGTTCAGTTTAAGAAGTTTAGATGGAAATAAAGGATTCTTTAACAATCTGAATATAAATTAACAAGTAAATATAAATTCCAAAAATGTAGTCAATTGCTATTTCAAACACAAATAGAAAATAATTTGTACCTGGGAATGTACCCTTTTTATTTGACAATTGCAGGGGTACACTAACAATATTGTCAATAATACATATGAATAATAAATCTCTCTTAACATATTTTTTGTTAAACTTACACAAATATTGTTAGTTGGAAACATGCAAATAAAGCAAACATTTGTGTCATTACACAAACCATTACATGGCCTTTAAATACAAATAAAATAAGACAGGAAACACTGTATTTAGTTTTTACAACAGCACTATTAGCAAAAATGTAACCACAGAGAGTTTATTTTGGTAGTTGAATCCATAAGTAAAAGCGGAAGTAAGTTGTAGGGAGATATCTTGTTTCTTCTCTGAACTTCCGTCAGCAGATGTCCCGCCTTTTATGAGAAGAACGCATGCCATTGGTGCGTTGAGAAAAAAGACTGACGCTGATTCGCTGTATAACATTGTCAATTTACTATCGCCAAACAGTTACGAAAACCAAAAAGAGTTGCAGACAGACGTCCTTCAAGTTCTTGCTGTTTTTGTAGGTTAAATTAACGTTAGACAGTTTCAAGACTAGTGTAGTTATCTTACATTGTAGTAATCTGCGTTTCTATTCTACGGAAGACCAAAGCCATACGTATATCTTCAGTGGGTCATATTGGGTTGATTGGGTTGATGCTGTGTTACATACGGTTAACGTTAGCAGAGGCCTAGCACTGAGCTAACGTGATAATTCACCAGCGTTTTCTGGGACTTCTCAGATGATACACTCTCCCCACTGGTAAGTGTATCACCTTTACATGCAGCCAACAGTGCACTGTGTTATCAAATAGCTTAAAAATAAACCAGTAGACATGATGTAGCATAATGTGTGAGAGACACTAAAAATACCTAGTGTATCTCTAGTGAAGGCTGAATTGTTATCATGATTCAATAGGTTCAGGGTGAATGCAGGTAGTTGCATTGTTTTATATTCTCCTTCTCTCTGTGTGTGTCTGCAGCTAAGTGTCCACTGGAAAAAAACAGCATCACAATGACAGCTCAAGAAGGAGAGGGATGGGGAGGCATTAGTATCCTTTAGAAAAACATGTCCTTTACCTGAGTATAACAATGCTGAGATGACATGGTGGAAAGTGGCACAGAAACAATAAGTCGTTGTTAAAATCGATTCATTGTTTGATCCAATTTTTAAATCAAAAGTTCCAGATGCTTTCATATCATTGTGTATTTGAAATTGACTATGCTTGGCTTTTGGTTTGTTCACCAGGCAAATCAGACAATTTGGAGATTTCCTCAAATTCTGATTTCACAAATGTTATACAGTAGTCACAATCAATACAATTAAATACCAAATATAAAGTTATTAATGAAAATGACCATTGGTTAAATCCTGAGAATGTTAAGCATATTCCTATTCCATGAGAGTACAGCATAAAGTGTGTTTAATGGTAAACGGGCCTCCACCAAATGACGTGTATGACAGTGATTTCAGTAAAATCCCACCGTAATTGTCAACTCAGTGCTCCTCTTGTTTTGTGGATTTCAGTATTGCCGAAGTGACACAGTAAGACCTTAACTCAGCATGCACCCTGACCTTTCGCCTCACCTGCACAATGAAGAGTGTAACAAACTCATCACTCTTCTGAGGCAGTGCCACACAGAGGTATGTCATGCTCCTAAACAATGTTTTTGCTTCATTTACACAGAAAACATAACAATATAAATCTTGTGTTTTTCTACCCTCAAGCACAATGTCACAAGGTTCTTTGGCACGTGTAACGATGTGGACCGTGCCATGCGTCATTGCCTGAAGAAAGAGGTCTGTCAGTTATTTTTAAGCACCTTGTGAATGACCGACATCAAGAAATCGGATTATTGAGCTTTGTTCATTCATTGTTTTCTTTGTTTGTTTACCATTCAACAGAGACTGGATAAGCGGGAACTCAGCAAGCAGCATGCCAAAGACATGAAAAAGAGGCTGAAAGCAGGGATAATAGAGGATCTCTGAAGGACATTTCAATGCAACTTTAACACTGCCACTACCAGTTTGAAGGAGTGAGATAATGAGACACTGAATGAAGCATGACACTGTGTAAAAGGGCCTTCCCTATGGTCTCAGGAAGGTGACAACTTCTGTCTCTTTGAAAATTCAAAGGAGTGGATTATATTAGTAATTAAGCATTGAGGTCTAAGTGTCATGTGCTATACATCATTTTGATATTATTTGAGAGGAAAGGTTATTTAAAATATGATGTGCATATACCAATAATGATATGGTTAAGATGCAAAGCTTACTTACAACACGTTTGACTTGTTATCACCCGGACAGACTGGGATTTACAGCGTTACCAGAACATTTTAGTAAACACAACATCATCGAGAACTTTGGATGAAAGATTGTTGTTAGGCAGAAACCTTCCATCAAACTGTTGAAGTTAGAAAGACACCTCAGGACTATTCTTCTACCAATTTCATGGCATTAGAGATGCAAGTAAAAGATTACCTAAAACCGGATGAGCACTGGCTCTTCATGTCAACACACACCCATGAACATGCAGAGTGAACACATTCATTTTTGTTTGATTGTTTATTTGAATGGGGAATCATATTGATTCGTTACAAGTTTAACTGCTTTCAAATAAAGTGATATTATCCTTATATTAATCCATGCTTCAATATCGTGTCATCATTGTAAATCATAATTTCTATAACCGATTGAAACTTTGTATGCAGCTCTTGAAAAGAACTAAATGTATTTACATGATACTTCATGCATTAGAAGATGGTGAAGGCTTCCATCTTTTTTCACCTGCTATAGGCTGTAATAATAATTAAATAGATTACATGTTTTTGAATCTATTTGTTCTTAGGAGATCCTATACATCTATGGCATGCGGAATAGGCAAGGGTCTGTTTTGGCAAAAATGTTTTGATATAAATATGTGTAGTAATTTTTAAAAAGGTATGAACAAAAAACAGGTATTAAATTGAGTTATATTGAAATAGAAATATCTTACAGTCTGTTGACTTGGTGAACTCTGTAAAAACCATGACCAAGTTGTAAAGAAAATCTAAACTCAAAGGTCAGGTAGTACATATTTTAGAGATTTGAACTGCATCTCATGCTCTCCATTCAGCAACTGGAGCTGGTAAACGTGTCATGTCAGCTGGTGGTCATATGACCCCTCTCTTTGTGTAAGGATGGTGTCTTCCAACCTTTATATATACAGTCTATGCTTCCAACCCAGTCTCACAAAAAAACGTGTAATAACTACGTTGGTCCACAACGTAGGACATAGTATTTCTACAAAAACGCCTCTGAAATGGTAAGATCCCTACGTTTTTTTTCACCATTCATTCCAATGGCTTCACATTCTTCACATTTCTCCCTGCAGAAAAAACCAAACATGGCCGAACTGCGTTTTATTCTCGGTGGAAAATGCCTATTTTAAGGTTAGTTTGGCCATTAAAATGCGTTTTGATGTCATTTGATGCGAGAAATATGAGTTGTTATTTCAGATTATGTGTGCAGTGGATGTACATGATCTTTAGTTTGCTAGTTATTACGAAGATTACTAAGGAAATTGTGTCGATACAACGTTTTCATTGTTACCAAGGTGGTTGCTAGGGACGCTGCTATCGATATTATTTCTGTTATGTTGTGTAACTGTTTAATGGTGTTATCTTTATTGCTACCCCATTCCCCGTCAAAGTATAGTGTTGGTCCACAGCGCAAACGTATTAGTTTAACAAAATCCGCATCTAAAATGGTGGCATATACGTTATTTTCCCTGTGCAATTCCAGTCTCACATCTCACATCACATCGTCATTAACAAATACCGGAAACCGACCGAAAACACTTTATTCCGAGTGTTCTTGCTTTTCTCTTTGAAAGTCATCACATAACGGCATTGTAATACACGGTTCGGCTGCATTAAATATTACATATCTGCTGTAGTTCTGTAGTGCTGTAGTCCTTGATGAGAAGACTTCTAGACACACATGAGGAACTGCCGCCAACACTGGAAACGTGACGTGGATCATAAATATATCAGTAATTAAACAACATCTTACATTTCTTTTCACACAATACGTCTCCTTGCAGTATCAACACTAATTCGGCTGACTTTTATATTTGATCCAATTGGTAGATAGGCTGTATTTACACCATAAACGTGCACACCTGATATAAAGCGACACCTAGTGGTTAAAGCATGTTATTGAATTTCATTATTTTTATTATTAGATATGAATAGAATCCTACGGAAGAGGATTAGGGCCACATAAACACATTTTTGTGAGGATTTGAAAAAAATATTATTTTTTTTTGTTCTGAGAAAAAAGTCAGAATTCTGACTTTAATCTCAGAATTCTGACTTTAATCTCAGAATTCTGACTTTTTTTTCAGAACAAAAAAAAAACATTTTATTTGGGAGAAAAAAGTCAGAAATACCGGTAACTGTAGAACCAGCTTCACTGCGATGTACACATTGCAGTAGGCAACAATGGAGGACGTGAGTGAATTTCTGCGCGCCAGAGGGATCCAAGAGGAAACCATAATAAGTAATTTTACAACCATCTACAGTTACCGGTATTTCTGACTTTTTTCTCCCAAATAAAATGTTTTTTTTTTGTTCTGAGAAAAAAGTCAGAATTCTGACTTTTTTCTCAGAACAAAAAATAATAATATTTTTTTCAAATCCTCACAAAAAAATGTTTTATGTGGCCCTAATCCTCTTCTGTAGAATCCCTATAAACAGGGGTGCACATAACTTTGTTGCCCTGGTTCTCAAAGGAGCACCTGGAGATGTTGCTTGGTGCTCATCCTTAAAATGAAATAAACCGTAACTTTTGAGGGGGTCTTGACTTTATTTGCCAGACACAGGGCACTGAACACACGTGAGGTGAACACAGAACACACGTGCAGAGGTGAACACAGAACACACGTGCAGAGGTGAACACAGAACACACATGCAGAGGTGAACACAAGACAACATTAGCACGACCAGTAATCCTACAAGCTGTCATCACTACCCTCCTGACTGTTCTCCTCACTGTCTTCCTCTCTGTCAGACATGGTAGCTGATGATGTAGGCCTACTTCTTTCTCTCTGGTTGAGTCTGTGATTAGCTGCTTGCATCCACAAGTCAACAGCTGGGTTTGGGTCGAAAGTCTCTGTTGTCATCTTAGAAAAGTGGATGTAATCAAATAACTATGTGAACATAACCAATAACCTACCATAGCCAATAACAAATGAATGTAACTTATTTTATTTATGTTGTTCATTCATATCTTATTTTACCTTAACATTTATTTATTCATTTTTTTTTATCTCTCCAGTTTTAAAGGATATTTTTGGTTACTGTCCTATAGTATACATTGGAATTATTTCAAACCTGTTTATCCCAATAATTATAAAGGAGTGCCTTGGAAATATTTGTTTACATACATTGTGACCAAACCGTTTGAACTTAGACTAAAGTGAACTATCTAAACACTCAGAGTCCTTTACCTCACTGAGCTGTAGTTATCAGCCTCTCAGTCTGACTGGAGAGGACTCTCCCTCCACATCATTGTAGAAACATCTTCTTCTTATATCCGTTAGAGCAGCTAGCACCAGATACTAATAACAACAGCGCTGGTACCGGTGCACCCCATGGATGTATAATAAGAACTGGATACAGCGTGGGAGGCGGGGCCTCATTCATTCCTATGAGAGCTGCTCATTAGCGCATGATGATAAAATGGCCCAACTTTTGAGAGAGTGAAACGTCACAGATTACCCAGCATGCCTGAGAAGTACCCGTATGTGCACTCATAGAGCATGCGCAACTTTAACCAAAATGCTCGTTCACATCAAGCACGTCAATTTGCGTACACGTAAATGTTATCATGGATTTGATATGAACGAGGCGGCAGTTAGCGGCTAGCTAGTAATGATGCTAATGTACACATCAATCGTTATGTACTTATATTACGCTGTAACAGGATCTAGTGATATCCAAGCAACAGAGCTTCATTTAGCATGAAATAATTATTGCACTGTATATATATATATATATATATATATATATATATATATATATATATATACAGTGCAATAAGCTTCTTAGTGCAATACGAAGCTACAGGGACGTTAATAATGTCGGTAATATTAACTTTATTTAATACAACATTTACGGTACAAGATCTGATCATACAGCCCATGTAGTATGATAATGAATTACAGCAAACATGTGCAATACATCCATTATTACAGCTCCGTGGGGTGGCAGTAAGACGATATGGGTCCGTTCTTATTGTGCATCCATGGGTAAAGATAAACGCAACTCACATTGGTTTCTCATACAGCATCTCTGTAAACTACGTGTATTCACTGAATTTCACTCTCTGCCTTTAACGGCTCGTTGTAGCTCAGAGAGGCGAAGTCCCTCCCCTTCCGAAAGCCTCCATGGGACCCCGGAAGCGGAAAATTATACATTGAAGTCAATGGAGAGAGAAGGGTTATCTTTTGATCCCGTTTGAATTGTGCCACGAATGACACATATGATGTTTGTCAATTTAAAAGAACATTTTGCAAGTCAAAAAAATAAAAATGTGTCGTAAAACTGTGAAGTTACACATTTTTTCGTGTGAAACCGCTGAACTACAGGTCTCTCGGCTCGCACAATACGCGTCACCAACATAAAGATGGCCGTCACGTTAGCACATTTCACCACATTCTTTCAGAATGAGAATAAAAGTATTTTACGAGGTGAAAATCACTACAAGTCTGGGCACGTTGAGAGCTGTACCTATATGAAAGGGGAGTTAGTCAGTAAGAGCCAGCATGCGGGACCGGCTTTACAAGGTTTCGGTGAGTAATATGAGTGCAATGTGTAACGTTAATGTCAGCTAGCTAACATTAGCTAACAAGGTACACTAACGTGTTTTGTTTTAGTAACTAGTTTTCTCCTTAAGAAATTCGTGGTCTCTGTGTATGCTGTGGATAACATTAATGTTCACAAGAACAAGGTACACTCCCGTGTTTTGTTTTAGTTGCTCTTCAGATTGAAGCGGACAGTTTTATATCGACTATACTGTATGTGTGATCTCCTTTTTCTCGTTGTGTCATTTGACTTTATTTGCTGTGTGTAGATTCAAGGATTTTGGTTATCTAGGCACAGCTGTGTGTGACTCCCTCTGGTACACTGGTATGTGTTTTCCTAATGTAGAGAGCATTGATTAATTAATAAACTACACACTGAGTCTAGATCCTGACCAAATCCTTTTTTATTGTTGTTTTATCAAATGTTTTTCAAAAATGTATTCATACACATTTAGAAAAATACAATGTACAATCACAACCAATACAACACAAATTACAAAAAATACAGAAAAAACAAACAATAACAACAATCAGACAAGAGGACAAAACTATGAAAAAATAAACCCTCCCACCCCCAGATCCGGACCATCCTTGTATTATTGCTCATTCAATCTATTATAGCATGCTAACAAATGGTACTTACTTTATTTTTACAGATCTGCATGGGAGACGATGGCGCGATGCAGAGCGCTGTCTGTGATTGTGCACAGGAGATGTACAAATGCAGCCACGCTGCAGCATTGGCAATATTTGCCATGTGGCAGATCAGCTCCACAGATGTTGAGTGCCAGTGGA